GTGTTTGTCCCAGACTTGTCCGTTACTGAAAAAAATGTTGTAACATCCTATGGTTCACTGAACTTCAGAAGCAATACCCCTTTTTGTGATGTTTACACCTTTCAAATATTTGTGGATTTCTACTCTTTCCTGATACTTTTAAACATCCCTCGCCCCAGATAACATATTTAACTTTTACTTTTACTTATAATTATCCCTTGAAGGTTCTTCTCTTTCATCAATACGCTTGTGATAACAGTAGTGCCTGGACCTGAATGTAGCATTGATCACACTGCAGTCCTCAACAAAGGCTCTATTACCTCTATTGTGTGAGGCATTTACATGATCCCTAGCAGACTGGCTTTTCTACAGCTTGTTCTGTACCTCAAGTAGTTTTTAGTACAGGTCTTCTCATACAGTCTAGAGAAAAGAAGAAAAGCAACTCTAGTAACTATGCAGTAGCGCTGGAATCAGGCCCGCAGACATTATCGTGCTGAATGTGCAACAGAGTAGTTAGATAAATTTTGGGCCAGCAGCTAATGGCCTCTGTAATCATGCACCTGGTTTACATCAGAGAGTATCTCTTCCATTCAGAGCTGCACCACGAAAATACAGCTTCCCAGAGAAGTTAGGGCCTATTCTGAAAAATAGTACTGAAAAACATGTTCGTGTGACATAAAATGGCTGACGTAAAATGTATTGATGGATTGCAGATAAGGTTTGCTCTGTTAACAGGTTTTACAAGGTGAATACAGAACTTGGACACAAAGTTCCCCCTAGTCTGAGTGGGATGTATGGGGTTGAAGTTGAGAGTCAGCTTTGAACGATCACAGAAACACAAAAACAAGCCCAAAAGAAGATGTTAAGAGGTCATACGGTTCATCACCATGTTTCTGGGCAGGTTCAGTTTACCAGTGAGTCCTAAAAAGGGGATGGCTAATCTATTCTCTGAGTTTCTCAGTGATAATAGATCCACAGCCTTCCAAGGCAATCTGTTTATATTTCACTGTACTACTGTTAGAAAGCTTGCCTTACTATCTAACTTAAATCCCCTTACTGCAAATTAAACACAAAATTCTTTGTTTGCAATTTCCTACTTTGCAGACTCTGCCATGATAGTTCACAGCCTTTTAAGATGCTATGGTTAGCATGTATGAGCCAGAACTACACTGTGCTAGATGCTGTTCAGATGCCAGACAGAAGTGAGATGTATTTCCCAAAGAGTTAACAAATTAACAGGAAAGCACAAAGGAAATGAGAATAAGCACAAGAGACAAAGGTCTCAAATCTCAGATGATTTATACCCCGACACTGTCAGAATACCATAGTTGCTGACGTACCTACTGGCCACCTGCACACCACAGCTACACCTTTTACTCAAGAGCAAACAATGGATCACTGGTGTCCTTACCAGCAGTTTAAAAATAGACAGGCACAATGACTGTAGCCTATATTTTTAGGGAAAGATATAGGAAAGTACATGGTCGTGACGCAAGTCAGTGATGTATGTCTGACCCCACTAGGTAAAACTCCACCACACGAGAACATTTTCACCCACCTCAGCACTGAACTTCAATCGCAGAAATTGGCTTTTTATCATTTACAGTGTCAGGATAAGCAGTCTATGCCCTTTAGATCATCTTTAAGAACAAGAATAGGTTATGTTCTTTCTAATAAGGGGTCCTGCTGCTACAGCAAGCTTCACTCTACTTCCCTTACTTAGGGTATTGATTACATGCCAAAGCCACTTCCTCATTTATGTGAATCAGCTGAGAAATGGCAGGATTGACAATGAGTGTTTCATGTACAGCTCATCATCCTGAACTGCTGTATTTTTTAGTGTGTTATGATCCATAACCCAACTATAGGCTACTTCATTTTTCAAGAGTACAAGCTTACATATGCCTATACACATCCACATGTTTTTTTGTGAATGCAAACACTCTCAGCACATGCATTTCCTTCCCAAAGTATTGCCTCCTGTTGCTGTTTGCAAATAAATCATGTCCCATATGCCGTCTTAGAAGTGGTTAGATTTCTAGGAAGAGTGAGATGACCAACTTCTCATAGGATCATGACAAGAAAGAGCTATGAAGGGAGAAGAAGAGTCTTTTAAATTTTAATCACTAAAGTAGAATTGACAAACCTGGAGTTCTTTGTTCTGCATGCAGACTTCTTACAGATTTCCAGGGAGGTGGTTTTGAAATATATTTTTTTTAAAACACCAAAGCAACTTAGACTCACTGGTCATGGTAAAAATAAATGGATTTAGGACCCTAAGTCACAAAGGCATAGAGAATTTAAGGGAAAAATAAAAACCTTTTGAAAAAAAAAACATTACGGAAATTCAGTTTGGGATTGGATTAATTTCACCTGATGTCTGCATAAAATGCTGTCTGAAGCCAATGAAGAGACACAGACATCTCCAGAGGGGGATTCAATCCTTCTCTCTTAATGCTCTACCCTCTGTGGCCAGAGGGTGCTCTTTGAAGTCCTGTTTCCCTCCACTCTGTAGGAGTGATTCAGTCCCTAGTCAAAAGCAATTAGTGACTTTTTAGGTGCCCTAGGGATCCTGCCTGCCCTTCAGCTGCTTCTCCACAAGTCTTGGGTCTCTTACAGGCCCTGTGTCACAGCTGGCAGTCCCATGTGCATGTCTCAGGTGCCCTGGATGGTATTTGGGCAAGGTAGCCTGTCTCTTGCTACTGGCTGAAACTAAACACTTAGCTTTTAGACTCCTTAGTGCCATTGAGACATCTGATGGTACAACATTAAAACCATTTAAGAGGATGCTGTCAAGGCCCTGCACTTGCTCTTGAGCTGTGACCATCAGGTCACCTGACCCTGCAATAAGCCAGTTCAGGCTTTGACCTGTCCAGTTCAGCTCCCTGCTGCCCTCCAGGCAGCCTCAAACAAGCCCCAGTCTCTACAAGGAGGCGAGTGGGACTCTGGCAATACAGCCAGGTTTGGAAGAGAGAGTGAGACTCCAGCAACACCAACTCAGAGCAGTTCGGACTTTGCAAAGTGGTCAAAAGATAAGAAAAGCTAAAGTTGTCTTTCTACAGTGTGGTAACAACATGAATCTTTCTCCATGCCTCCCATTCTCTTCCCCTTCTCCCCAGTTCCAACAGAAGGGGCTGAGCTGGTTGTCTTCACAGTTTATTTTGTGTTAACTTGTCTCATTCCAGTGGCAGGAGAACCAGGGCTCATTTTCAGTGCCAAACACATTCTGGTTTTTCTACCACAAGGAGAACCATTGTGAAGAGAATATACTTTACATTGGCCAATACCAAAGGTAGGGGGTTAATTTTCACAGACTCAGTTGTACGTTTTGATTCTGGCCCTGTGGTCTGTGCATAAAGAGAGGCTCTGAAGTTACTCCAGAAGGGAATAGGTGAGTAGTTTTATCTTTTCCATGTCTCTGCTTGTTAAATGTTTCCTGGATGCAATACATAGCCCCCTTCTAAGGCTAAGGGTTAAACATTGTCAAAAAATGTCTCTGATCTGTCAGAGCAAGAGGAAAAGAGCAGGGAAAATGTAAACTTCACATTGAAGTAGATGCAAGTAGAATCCCTTCTGCTGGCTAGGATGCATCATGGCATGGCCTTTTAAAAAGGATAGAGGCATAATAGCAGCTCCCAGCCATCACAAGAGCTGCATGAGGCCGAAACCTGAACTTCCCTCTCATTCCTTGCATCTATACCAGAGTGAGCTGCAGCTAATGCCAGTTCTGAATATTCAATGAACAATTCTGCCTGGCATGAGCAGAGAACAGAGCAATATCCCCCCAAAAGCAGGAGAGTAATTGCACCTTCACTAACAGTGTGCTTCAGAGCAGTCTCCACAGACACATCATGTCAGGGAAAAGCTCATAACAAGCCTTAGCAGTGCCTATCCGTACACTCCTCACTCAGATTCCACATACATGCACATGTGTTTGTCAAGCATACGAGCTGACCTGTATTTTTGTTGCACCACAGGCTGGTCCTGTTTGTGAGGCTGCCACAGTAAACTTTCTATTGGCCAATCTTCTAATCAGCAAATTTCTAGCTCCCTGTTTGCTTTGCTTCCCCTTCTGCTTCTCTCTCCCATTTCACAAAGGAAAAAATGAAGGAGGAGAGATAAAAACCCTAGGTACAGAACCAGCAAGGCTAGGCATCAAGTATGATTAGCTCTTTGCCTGAGGACCGAACCCACTATCCATGACTGTGATGAGTCCAACAATCACTTAGAAGCAGCTTATGGAAATGGCTTCTCTGATTCCTGCTTCCTGCCTTTTTTCTGTTTACTGCTCCACTGCTTGACCTATTCAAGCCCATGATTTGGGCTTTTACTCCAACCAACACATGAGACAGGATAGTGTTTCTGACTATTAGGGGTTGGGGGGGGTTTGGTGGTTTTTTTATTCAGCTTTGTATTTTTACTTGTGTGTAAGAAAACTAGATGCAAGAGATCCTTAGCGAATCAAACAAGAAACTGCATCCTCTAAATGTACGCTAGGAATAACCTCAAGCTAGCGACACTGGATAAGTCACCTTTTTCTTGATGTTGGCATGTTATGACTGGAGAGTAATTTACTAACTTTTCCAGCTCCCACAATGGATAGCAATCTGATATAAGTTAGATTATCCTAGGTAAACACTCATCATCCATATTAATACCTGCTTTTGGCTGTGGTTATCAATCATCTAGCAAGAAGGTGACGTATTGCAAACGCAGAGGGCTGATGCTGATGTATTCAGAAGGTATTCACCAGGCTAATGGGGCGCATCTCCAAGTGTATCCATCTTTCAATCATTTCTCTGACTTCCTGCAAGACTACAGGTTTCCCTCAGGAGTCATCAGACCTTCTACTTCTCCATCTACAGGGCTGACAAGACATCCCTTTAGACTCCTCCGCCCTGCCACAGAAGGGGAGGGTACCTTCACTCTGAAGATTTAAAAAGGGACCCCCAAACCTGTAGGAGATCTTGTGACACATTATCCCAAGGAAAGAAGACTGAAGATTTGCCATTGAACTAAGTATGAAGGTGAGTGAGACTCTTTTGGTATGTGGGAAAAATTTAGTTTGCAATTTATGCTTTTTCATGTGAGTATAATATTTAGGAACTGCAGGGGTGTTTAATAATTTTAACTTAAAAATAACCTGAGAGGAATATACACATAGTTATATTCAGTGTGCTTGAAACAACTGCATTAAAAAAACATTAATAGCATAATGTGCTCTCAAAAACAGGATGAAATAAACTACTGTGAATCATAATGTTAAATGCTCTCTGTTGTCCATCACTGTTATCAGTGCATGAATAACAACACGGTCTGTGCGAACAAGCAGAGATGCAACTTGTTCACAGAGGATTCATGCTCAATGCTTTCATTTGCATGTGCTGCATCAGCGAACAAACTCCAAGAATCAAACAAGCCTCTCTCGTGACATGTGTGTAATTATGGTTGATGCAAATAGGATGCTAAGTTTAAAAACTTTCTTTTTCTGAGGAAGTAGTGACCCGCTCTCCTGGTTGGTTGGTTTGTTTGGAATGGCAAGTCCCCTACATTTGCTTGTTGTCTAAACTCTATCATTCAAGGTTTAGTAAAATCAAGATATACTTTATATCGTCTTTCCCCCTTAGTTTGTACATTATTCTCATTTCTGGAAGATCTAATGTCCTTGTAAATAGGAGCACAAAAGGTGCTTGCCTCGATGGCAGTTCTCACTGGTATGGAACCTTTATAATGAATATGAGTAAAGAGAAGAAAGTACGTTTGATTTAACATTCATCCTCCCATCAGATCATTGTGTATTGAAGCTGAAATAGCCACTGAGCAAGAGAAGGTTTGGCAGCAAGACAGGGAGGAAGGAGGGACTGGAAATACCCTCACATTTAGATTTGAAGTTGAGAGGATCTACAGATCTGAAAGGCTTTTCCTGTACCTCGTGGTTCTTTATTGTGCACAGGGACTGCGTAAACTGACAGCATCTGCAATGGCACTGTTCTTGGCAGCGTCCTTCATATCTTTCTCCTGGAGCACACCTCAGGTAAACAGCTCGCTCAGGCTGAATGTGCAGTATCCATGTATCTCACAGGTTGGTGCCATGTAAGTATTTGTACTAGTTAGTAATGGCATGCAACATTGACATGTCTCTTTTCTCTTTTTTGGCATAAAGGCTCATTTCCAAAGGAGAAACTGGACTCCTCAGGCTATGCTCTATTTGAAGGGTGCACGTAAGTCCCAAGCTCTTTCTGTTTTGAGGAGATAACTTTCTCTACCACTGGATTATTCCTAATCTGCTTGGCTCCACACAAGCAGTAAATCCCCGAGGATCTTGCGGAGGTAGAAGTTCTGAGGCCTGCAGGGATGTGCTAATAGTTATTTCTTCTTGCCTCTGGAACAGTGGCATTGCCAGTATTATTATTATTTTTTAAAGAAATCAAATTGAAGAAAGCAAGTGTTGGAAGAAGAAAAGTAAACGAAAGTACTGAAAATGTAGAGAGTTTGAAGCTTGATTGCAAAACCTATTGGAAAAGCAGTTTCCTGTCTGAAATAATCTTAAAGGGGGTTTAAGACACACTGGATATAGTTATCATTCCTTATTCTCACTCAGGCTTTATTAAAACATCTTCTCAAGCAATAGGAGAACACACATTCCTCTTACAGGCATCTTGCATTAAAGCTGGTATGAAGACCACAAGCAACCTCTTCTAAGGAGAACTTGGATGTCAGTGTTATCAATATTGTGGTGTTAAGGTTGTGCAAATGACCTTTGAGTTTCTATTGTTAGTTCAGAGTTAAAGAAGCATTAAATATAATGATGAAATTTAGAGCCAAGGAGAGATTTTGTCCTTTGATGCAAACCCACGAAATTTAATGGAACTATTCTTTTTTAAAAAAAATCTATTCTGAATTGTTGTTTCAAAATTAAAAGCTATCAGGTAGGGTAGGTATTAAGACAGCAAAAAAAGTAGCTTCCTTGAAATGAAAAAAAAATTGAAGCTCACAATCCTGAGAAAAATGCAAAAGTGAGATCATACGAATAATAACAACACAGAATAAATATAGGCTCCAAACAACTGTAAGTGTAACTGAAAGAAGTTCTAGTGACATTAATAAAATTATTTCTATTCATAAAAGCAAATAATTTGGCCCTTTTTTCTTTTGTTTAAATCTTCCAACTGAATAATGCACTGTGTTACTTCTATACTGACCAGTGTATCATTCTTATTGATGCATAGGAAGTAATGTGATTTTTTTTTAGGGTGTTTTTCTTTTTTAAAATAGAAATATCCCTTTAAAAGGCAATATTTTATAGTCCAGCAAAGAGATTTAAGGCTCTTGACTGTACAGCAGTTGAGGAAAGAGTGAAGAAAAGACAGTAAATTCCTCCCTATGTCCAGTTCCTACAGCAGGTTAATACAAGAATGAAAAGTGCTGAAACACCAGTTCTATCGAATAAAGTATGCCTTGAGTGTTCCGATTCAGGATGGGCTATGGCTGATTTGGAAAGACCCTGGGATGGACTTATACCTCCCATTTTATGTTTGTAGAAGTATTGCTGTAATTTTGTATTTTCAAAAGACTACTTTAGTGCTTGTAAAGTAGGAATTACAACAGATTTGGGAGGTTGTTTTCACCCTTTTCCCACTGCTTTTGTAGAGGGACGTCGATTCATCTCAGATGAGAGCCAGCGAAAGGATCTGTATGACAGAATGCAGCTTGGTAAGTACATGTGCACAGGTGTATGTAACACAACAGTCTTTCCTCAAATTATGGGAGAAATCTGTGGAAACTGGAGGGGATTTGCTTTCCTGGAATTATATTCAAGGAAGCAATTAAACTCCCTTTTGTGAGTTCCTTCATTGCAAAAAGCACATGATAAAGACTGTCTGACTTTCCTCTCTTGTGTACCTGTGTGACTTCATTTACATAAATGATGTTCCAGACTGACCTGGCTGTTAAGTGGGATTATCATCAGTACCTTTGACTTTCTTTTTCCACTGGAAAAAACCAAATCAAGTTATTAATTGTGCTGAACTGACAAATGACAAAAGTAGACAACATTAATCCATGCTAGACAATGTTTCTGGAGGAAACAATGTTGTAGCAAAGTAAGGAACCTATGAAAAAAGAAACTGTTCTTTTTACCTTCTAAGGGACTTTAAAACAGCTTCCTTTTTAAAAAGATTGCTAGTCTCTTCTGTGTTAGATATTTATCAGGCTGGTTTTTAGCAGAGTGTTACAGAGCAAAGGAGACAACAGTATTTTTTTTTTCTTTGGGTCTGTAGTTATAGAGGTAAAAAAGCAAATAACAAAATAAATAAATGCCAGTAAACACTAACAAATCATGCATCTCTGATTTTATAATTCTAGAAACACGCAGCCAAAACACAAATCCTTTATCTCTTTCTGAAGCTGCAGCACTGTTCCATAGTTCCTTACGGAAAGCACAAGAAGAAGGTAAATGCATATTTTGTCTTACCCTGACTTTTTTAAAAGCAGTTTATCAGTATTTCATTTACTAACAATTTAGTAAATTGATCTAAAAGGCCTGGTTTGAAATGAGATATTATTCCACAGAGTGCATTGTATTAGACTATACATTTACACAGAGTGTATTGCATTAGGGTGCACATTTAGACAGATTAGAACATGAATCAGATAAATGATAGTAGGTAAATTTTTGTATATTCTGCTTTTAATTTGCTTTTCAGATTTTTATTGGTTTATATTCAAGGGAATGGCTATTTTTAATTGAATTTTCCAAAACAAAACTCTACTGGGACTCCTTTTTCTGCAGAATATTGTTTGCTTATGAAATTTTCATTCCTCCATTGGCTCTTATGTCCTGGTGGAAAGGCTTAAAAGAATCCTGAAAAGCCTAAAATCCCTAAAAAGGGATTCACATCTGGCTCCTGAGAGCTCTGTCGCTGGCAGAGCTGACAAGGTGTCCCAATGACATTTAGAGGCAGAGCCCTGAAATATCCTGAAGAATCCTGTAGTTCATTCATGTGTTCCCAGCCTCCCAGAGATATTGTCTAACCCTCCCATCTCTGTCTCCTCACCACCTGCTTCCTCACCACCTGCTACGTGCTTCCACTTCTCACTTCAGAACCTCAGAACCCACGTCTCCCTTCCACAACACCCCTCAGCAAAACCCAGCTACTGAGTCAGGCTTAAATAACTTCTGTTTCCTCATCTCCTTCACGCGTATTGCACCCCCTTAGATGAGGACACCTATCCTATGTTCCCCAGCTCCCTCACCCTGCTATAGTTCACCTTTCCTCCCTAGACCAGCTTTCCTGCAAAGCCATTATCCTGAACCCCTCATCATCTGATGCATACATACAGCTCACCAGGCTGAGACCCTGAATCTGTGCTATCCATGTCCTCTGTCTTTCTACCTTTCACCTCTTCAGGTACATAAACTATTTTTTAGAAATGGAGCTGGGGACAGGGAGGTTGTAAAAAGAGGATACACCCTACAGTGCTGTGGAGAGTCTGTGCTGTGCTCTGGCCTCTGGGTTCTGGGGAGGCTGTTGTAGCATATACAAGCCCAGGAGTTTGTCTAAGTTACGCTCTTCCCCTCTTTGGTTCAGGACAGGGAGGAACAGAAGGTGGCTAGAAGCTACCTTTGTTTCTTATTGTCCTGATTGTGAGTTCCTTATTCAGACTCAATTTCTGTCATCATGACAGGAAGAAAAAGTGCTTTAGTTGAATTCGGAAATGTGAAGTAAAACCCTAGTAAAATATGAGGTAGTTTTGTACCTTCCACATAGATGAGTGGTAAGACAGGCCTGTTACTGCCTAATCACCTTTGACATCAACAGTGTGTAACAAATAACTTCCTTGCCATCGCTGCAATATCACCTCTCCTTAGTTATCTAAAGTATGCAGCTTTCCTGAAATGAAAAGAAGGTGTGAGAGACACCTGTCAGAATTTACCTGGCGTATCTGTAGGTATGCTGGAATCACTCCTGTCTTCTCCACTTCCTAAAATCTCCCACTGTACGTCATGTAGCGCTGGGGCTCTGTGCTCAGCTCTCTCTTCCCTGCCCTGGCAGAACTCTGCTAACCAAAAAAATTCAGTGGCATTTTGACTGAGAGAGAAAGGCAGAATTAAAAACGAGCATAGTGCTTTGGACAAAATATATGAGAAGTTCTAAACATAAATCAGTGAAAGCATCATTTATGTGCTAACAAAAAGAGAAATCCTCTGAAGTCCATGATTCATAAATTTTAGTGGTATTTTCCTGCCTGCTGTTGCTGTTCCAGAGGAGACAGTGGACAGCAACAGCCCCCTAAGAAAAAAGGTGACATATCTGAGAGAGCTAAGCAGAACTGGCAGCTTGTTTGAAAAATACTATGTGGAATAACACTGCCATCATTGTAGTAGGGAATAACAACACAGTCAAACCTGGGTAAGCCCTGCACTTGTGGGTGTCGGTCTCTTCTCCCAAGTAACAAGCGATAGGACGAGAGGAAATGGCCTCAAGTTGCGCCAGGGGAGGTTTAGATTGGATGTAAGGAAAAATTTCTTTACTGAAAGAGTGGTGAAACATTGGAACAGGCTGCCCAGGGAAGTGGTGGAGTCCCCATCCCTGGAGGTATTTAAAAGACGTATAGCTGAGGCGCTTAGGGACATGGTTTAGTGGGCATGGTGGTGTTGGGTTGACGGTTGGACTCGATGATCTTAGAGGTCTTTTCCAACCTCTATGATTCTATGATTCTATGATTCTTTCAGAAGATCACTTTCAGGTGATTTTAGAATCCTCTTGACTGAGAGAAATGTGCAAATAAAAACCAAATACATTATTTTCTTCTGCATGAAAAATTTGTGGCTTGTACTAAGATATCCCTCAGGACATGGTTTGTATCTTTGCCCTTCAGCAAACAGAAAAATTCCTACATTTAAAATGAGAGAAGATATGATTATTTCTACAGATGCCTGCATCTCTTAGCTAAGCAGTCACATTACACTAGGCCTGTGCCTGAGGCACATCTCTCTCGTGAAAACTTTGGCTGACTGAACTTTCCTTTATCTACAGCTTATTTTTCCCCATTGTGTCTTGTCTTACAGTTGAAGAAGAAAACAGTGATCACCCTGGCTACTTGACAGATAATCTATCAAATTGGTGAAATATTTCAAATTTCTTTAACATCTGTACGCATATACCCTGAAATCATGATTTGTGTAAACAGAGTATTTCATCCATCCTCACTTAAGTTCCCAAAGGGTGACGTATATACTCATTGCAACATTTTGAATGCAAATTGATTAAAAGTTACTAGTTTAGATAAGGAAATTATTAGTAAAGTTCCTGCCTTGTTTAGACCATTTTGTATGTCCCACCCAAAAATTAAAATACACTGTTCCACCTTACCTGAAAAGATGATTAAAACTGTCTTTTTGGACAACTACTCCATTAAAAACAATTTTTCAATAGTCTTTGGGAAACCTTTTACCACCTTCCACTCAGATGCATATTGAAGCCTCTTTATTTCTGATAAAGGTAGATTCCTTCACCACTTCACTGCTGGCCCTGTAAGTTGCTGATGGTCAATAAAGTCAGTGAGATATTAAAACAATCCAGCTGTCTTTGACTGCAAAGCAGGTGATTTTTTTTTTTTGCAGGTATCTGTCACCACAGAGAATAGGCAACAGCACTTACTTAGACCTCAGTGCTGCCCCAGCTACACGCATGCGGAAATATATACTCTGAACAATCCTACTAAGCAAGTCTCATCACATAAAGATAGTATGGGGATAGGTCTTAAAGGATCAGGGCCTCATTAATGACCATGTCATACAGCCACTACTGTTGTCAGGAGGTGTAGTACTGCTGGAGCTAGTGGTGGCGTACTAGGTACAAAGCTAGTGTCACGCATGACAACAGGCACACAGAATATTAATTGCATCATTATTGTACTTTTTTGTTGGCCTGTTTTTTGAGTTGCAAAACTGGAATTATACATAAATCAGTTAATTATCATTCCATGCTGATAAGGATATATTTAACATTATTTATGTAGTTTTGTGGTCCTACTGGAAAGCCCTCTGTAGTTCTCATGTAATTAAAAAGTAGTCATATGATTCTTGTGTCCAAGCAACTATGTTTTATTTTGTTAACCTTTAACCCTAGTTGTGCTCTTCATCTTTTAATGCTACTTTCCTCTGATCTTTCTCATGACGCTGCTAATTAATTTTGTTAACTCACGCTAACTATAATGTTGCTTCTCCTTGACACAAAGAAACACAGCTGAAGGAACAGAGGAATTAATTCCTACCATGGGGCTATAGGCACTTTTAGTAATTGTTTATCATCTATACAATTTCATGGAGGAACATAACTGGAGAAATCAAAATGTCCTTGTTTGTTCATTTTTAAGCACTAATGTATCTTTCAATAGCGGTATATGTTGTATGACAGAATGCATTCATGATTAACTTTATCTAAAGACCAATGGTGTCCACCAGAATCTTTTCATTAATTTAATTGCTCTTTGTTTCAAGCATACTCTGAATATCTCAGGAGCATCTAAGTTATTTTTCAGCATATTTTACAGTATGATTAGTCAGTGCTCAGACAAAAAGTAGAAGGCTTATACACCCTTTGTTTTATTAGTATCATGAAATTCATACGCCTCTAAATGCCCCAGAGGTACAAAACCTGTACTAATCACATTCCCAGTTGACTGATTTTTGTATATATTCCTGATCTAAACTCACTAGCTTAAACAATTCTTTACAAATATCATGAAACAGAATAAACGTTCTGCCTTGTTGGTGAGCTGTTTGTGAAACCCTAATATTTTAAATCTAGCAGATAATCGCTTATGTTACAGATAGCTGCTACCAAGCTTGTCAGATATCAGTAACTGTTAGAAATGTGTGACATTTAAGTTAGGCAATCTGTCACCTTGACTGAATGAAAAGCCATTCCCTCTAACACTGCAAATTCAAAAGGCAGAAATGTTCTGCTGTAGTTAGATCACCTTGCTACTGACAGCGAGTCCTAACGTTCAAGGCAGAACCAAAATAAGCCTAGAGGCATGAGCCAGAGGTCACTGGCCACTGTGGGACCATTTCTGAGAAGAATGGGCACAGTGTTCACATTAGTCATATCTCAAAAGTTGTGCACTTTCTGTCACCAGGCAGGTGCTCAAAGCATGTGAGCGTGCTGAAACAAACACAGCTGGATTTGTGCAAGGTGTCATGCCAGCTCTCTGCTCTTCCCAAGGAACTCAAACACCATAAACACATCTAAGACAACCTGCAACCTGGATCATACATGTTGCTTATTTTTCTCCTCTGGGACTTGTCCAGAAAGAACAAGTGTAGCTGTCTTAACGCAACCCTAGCAAAACCTTTCCACTTTCGATATTATCTGTGCTGTGCCTCTATCATTTAGAAATATTTACAATACATGTGTAGTGATCACATCTTTCAGCACTGCAATGAAGCTGGGTCTGGAATGATGATAAACAGATGTTCACCAGCCTGTGGCTACTAGAACATTTTTAGGCAACAAAGGAAGTGCTGGATCACTCTCAGATGACGCTAATGCAATTTTGATGACAGGGAATTTGGGGTGAAATGCTTTTCTTCCGTACAACAGTGCATTGAAATACAAGCAATAATGTCAGATTTCTTGATTTTTTTTTTTTTTTAAGAGAACATTAACTTTCAATCAATATGCCCTTTAAATGTTCTTTTGTTGGGGCTCTCAGCCATTTCATTCTTTGACTCTGCAAGGGAACTTTGATTAAAAGCACTTTGGGGAAGAATATACATTTCTGAACGCACAAAATGCAGTTGTTCTCCACTTAGTAAACTGTACGAAGGAAAATATTTGCAGTATCTTCGCTTTCACCACTTTCATATGAAAAATCCCTACTCATTGTTTTAATTACTTTTAAAATGGCTTAAAAATAGTGACTCCTTTTAAATCCAGTTAAGTTTCTGCCATAAAACCCTGAACCTGTCTTCTGAGAATAGTTATTCTTTCAGGTATCCAAATCAGCTTAAGAATGAAAGTCCAATTTTAAAACTGATTTTAGGTGGCCAAAAATACAAATAGGCACCTAATCACTTTTATTCTATATGGCCTCTAGTAAGAACCATGTCATGAAACGTTGGTTAAGTGTTTGAAAGGTAGGTGTCTAATCAAAGTTGGACATCTAGGCTCCCCCTGGGATTGACAGTGAAGGTAAATACCTCCAAAGGCTACATCGTCCTACCTGCTGAAGAACAGGCTGAATCAATTTCTGGAAATGTCTTTTCTTGAACAGCATGAGAAATTCTTGATGCACAAACTTCTAAAATAAGAGATGAATCTCCTTCCTAATGTCTTCATGTCAAGATCTACTTCTGAAGAGCATGTTCAGGCACTCACTGCATCTCTAGGAATTGAAATGCTTTTGAAAGCTTTCTGTAAGGCAAATGAAATGTCCAGTTCTTGTCGTGAGGTTCAATTACTCCCCAAGCACTTTGAAGTTTCAGGTGCTTTTCGAAATTATGTCTGTGGGGCAGATGTGTTCTTGGAATTCTTTTAGCATTATTTGTTACGATTAGGTCTCTTCTAGAAGTGAAATAGACCACGGACTAGTGGGGCAATTGGAAGAACTAGAGTTACTCATCTTTGAATGTTGTCACATTACTCTATGGCATATAGGTTTGTCTGCAGGGGAAGGTGTTACTTAAGGAAATTTTGTCATTCTCTTTAGCCAAGTCACATTAATTTCCTCCCAAACTAGTTTGTTAACAAACTTAGAATCTAAGAGAAGATGAAAACAATAAAAGAGACATACCAGAGGAATCAGAAATAAACGGTCTGCTGTTTATTGTGGGTCTAAATGACTTCAGAAAGATGACTTCACTTGTCTCTAAAATTCAAATGCCCACTGCATAAGACTTTATATTGTTCCACAGGAAGTATGTTTTACCACTGGATCAAGACACTTCTGCGTGCTGTAAAAAAATGTTTTAAATTATGTAAGCTTACAATAAACAGCATAAGGAAAAAGAAAGAACATTTTCTTTTCAGTGTATCTTTTTTAACCCTGCCAAGGTTTCCCAGTGTAACACTTTTTTCTCTAAATTTTTTGAGCTCTGGCTTAAAGTTCATATTAGTTTAGGAGGGGAAAAGGGGGAACATAAATGAAGCAGGAATTCATTTGGGACACCCATAATGGAGCTATCAGCATAGACTATGATTAATATAGGTGATTATGTAGACAAAGGTATTATCTGCAGTTTGTATAAGCTCCTGAGGGGATTGTCACATTCTCTAGGTTTATTAAGCTTGAGAAATCTCTTCTACCTCAAAGGGGCACAGAAGAATTGTCATTTAAACTACTTTCAAGGTGAAATAATATTAGGCTTTCCAACAGTGTAGCTCAAGTAACATTTAAGATTCCCCTAATTATATCACACTGCCCTTAACAAAAAGCTTGCCAAGCCTACAGGAGAAACTGTTGAATGGATGGAGAGACCCTGCCAGGGTGAGAGCAATGAATTCAGTTCCTGTATTCTCCATACTGCTTCTTTTTTCCTTGTGGCAATACTCCAAGGGAAAAGGGAGACTTGATGTTTTGTCTATCCCTTTCGGCTTCCTCATCCTCATCATATCTTTCATCCTCATCTTCATCTTCACCTTCGCTATGGTGAGGGCTGGAATGCTGAGAGACAGAAGGTGATGGTGGCACTGATGAAGGCCTGGGGTACCTGAAACCTTCCGTCTGGCAGAGAGAGAAGCAAGTTGTATATATTATCACAGTGTTCCTCAATTGGTTGCATACAGCAATTTAAGGCTATCGACACTTCAAAGGAAACCAATGGTGGGATGTAAGCTAGACCTGCTCTGCACTCTAAAATTAAACTCCCTTGAGCCCAGATCTCCTCAGTCCTTCTCTGCCAGTAAGTACATGCTTGTATGGCAGTGATCTTTAGCCTGTGCCATAAACAATATGCTGCCCTTCCAGCACTGCTTTTTGCAAAATATGACTATCTTTATTGAGCCTTAAAACCATCAACACAACACAAAATCCTTCTGTACTCTGTAGTCAGAATATGCTCATTGAAATTCAGAATTCAGTCTGAAGTTTTAAAACAGTTTTCTAGTTATAGTGTCAATATCTGCAAAACCAGAACCAAGCAAGGGGTTTTGGCCTGAGCCTCCTTTCTCCTTCTTATTTAAAAAATGAGTTGCTCTCTGGACGTGTCTGAAGGTTTGGTTTCAAATAACATGGTTCTTACACTGGATCTGAGCAGCCTCCCTTCTCAAATTGGTGCTAACGTGCACTATGCAAGAACTGTTTGAAGGTGTGCCTTTAAACTGACCCCTTGCAGTTCCAGCCACAGCCTCCTCCTCACATACCATGTTTAGATGAAGGCAATACCTTGCCTTGCTTTCCCTAGAACATCCTTTCCCAGCTTCCCTTCTATTTGTTTGTGCAGAGCATCTCCATGGCATTTGTCAGAAGCAAAATTAGAAGCTGCCACTCTTCTAATAGGAATTTCAAGGGCCAGTTCCTCAGCTGGTTTAAAGTGGCATAGTTCCACCCAGGTCACTCTAAATTACCTGAAGAACTGTTCCTGTATTGCACCTGGTACCCCTAGTGTTTGCATCTGATACTATTACAACTCCTGACTGGAGCTTGGGTCTATAACTTGTTGAGCTTTTAACTATGAGTTCCTACTTCCCTTCAGTTAAAACAAAACTTGCTAACTCTCTTCTTACTCTTTCTGTCACACACACACACACACACACACTCACACACTTTCTCTCTCTCTTTGTAAAGCAGCTAAAATGCAGATGAACTCGTCTCCAAAAGCAGGCTTTACCTTTGGTGGAGCACTTGGTTCCATCTCAAATTTATCTGGGAATGTTCTGCTGAGGGCCAGGTGTCTGGCATGTATGTAATACTGCAACACAAAAGAGAAACCTTTACAAGTCAAGGAAGTCTTGGGTAGATTTAAGCAGGAAAAAAGGAACATAAAATGAATATCTTCTAAATGATGATGCTGAACAAAGGCTAAATATGTTTTCAGCTAAGGAGGATCCAACTGATAAGGCTGTTATGAAGTAGTGAGCCATTCGTATTAGATTCACACTGAAGTAGAGTCTGGAACAGAGGCTGAATAAATTTTCTGTAAGACTAAGATGTATCAAGATGGAAACCAGCACTTGTCTCAGTCAGTGTAGTTCTTATTGAGTGGTAGGTATTCTTTATCCCTCAAGATAGAACTGGCTCTTTTTTAACCAGGAGAATTTACATCTTTAAGTGTACATGTGTATACGCATAAACTTTGGACTCACCCTTGCGCAGGAAGCATGTGTAACAGTTACAGAGAAGTAACATTTATGAGTTTACTGAGGTCTGGTAGTTAAGAATTTGGCAAAAATATTTGTGGATCCATTATAATCACAAGTCTCCATCACATGCACGGAAAAAATAGCTTGTTGTGTCAGGGTCTTATGCTGTGTTGGGAACCATATAAACAGAAAGGTTCTCACACAGACATCAGAGCAGGACAAGGTCCAAAACAGTTACAAAACTGATATATGTACATCCACTTCTTTGATCCTGTGGACTTGAGAATACTGCTTTGCTACTGTCTTTTTAGTAGGTGGTACCGCAGTGTTTTCTATGTCAAATTAAAAACACTATTTTGCCTTTAAGGCACAGAGGTAGTTTAGGAGTGTTGAGGAGCCACAAGGCGCAGCAGCATTTTAGGAATAACAGGTAGGATTTTTGAAAAAATCCAGATGACTTTGGAGCACAAATCCTACTTAGTGTAGGGTTTCCAGCGTTGTCAAAGACACAAGCTTTTTACATTGTCTTTAGTACCAGGAGTACAAAGACCTCAGTGTGACTGGCTTCTGCTCTAACCTATTCAGTTAAGTCATGTCTCTCCTTACCACTGGAGAATGGAAGCATTACACTGAAATGTAAAGGCAGGCTTTGCCTTTAGCACCTTTGAGGGGTGCTTTTCAGAACAGGGATGCCTCCTTGCATTGTAGCATGATGCTGAAGACTGCTAGTTAGACCTGCGTGTCTGGAATTTTTAATACCTCTATCACATAGTTTCACACACCCTGCCTAGGTATCGCCAGTCCAACAGATCTGAGAGCCTCTCGGTTCGGTTTCTTTGGATGATCCTCTGGCGACGGGACTGCTGACAAAATCCGTACAGGAACTGAGTCAGCTGGTTGCATGAGTCATCAGGTGAGCGGAACCTCCTGTCAACTATGTAGATGCCTGAAGGACAGAAAAAAGGTGAAGATGAGTGGAACTGAAAATGGGATCTGACCTCTTATATTTCTATTCTACCTTCTGTCACATAGTCTTACAAACATTACATGTATTATATGTTCTTTTTAATGTCAGAAGGCAGCTATAACTGGAACATTTGTTACTATTCTGATGGAATGGAAAGCTGCAGAGAAATATGCATTTTTTATTTTAATTTTCTTTACCTTTCAGGCTGAAATTCAGCAAATTATTCAAAACTCAGAGGTTTTGTTGTTGTTGTGTAAGTATGTCCAAAAGGATTTAGGAGTTTCTGGATAAAGACATATAGGTTTTATCTCCCATAATTTTTAAAATACTGACTGCTTAAAAAAAAAAAATCTAGTGCTTTCCAATTTTCAGTAGAAATTAGAAGTGTGGATGGTCAGAATCAGCCTGTAGGCGAGAGGCTGTGTTTTCTGTAGAAATACAAGTGTTTCCATAGAGATAGCTAACTCACATACATTAGTCGATATACAATTCTGGCAGAGAGAGGGCCGAGGTAAAGTTTGTCTCTGTGTAGTTTGTTGAGATCAATACTTTATTCTTGCCACCTTCCCTACACCAGGGTGTTGGGAAGAAGAGGGTACTAGACCTCAGCTATCTTAATGGACAAGACAGCCACACAACTACCTTAACTGAAGTGCCCAGTGTCCCCTAGGAATGTACAGTAAGTTATGTCAATGCTCACGTCTATGTTTTGGCAGAGAAGAGCAAGTGACCTGTGTTCTCGGTCTGTGACCTTTCTGAAGGTCAAAGACATGTCAACTCAGGCAGGTGTAGCTATATTTTGCAACTGGCTCTACCCCTGCCCCTAGGTCAGGGCATAGCTAGTACTAGTGTGGAGCTGTCATTGCCTGATTGTGCAGACAAGCCAAGGTACTTAGAAAGAGGCCCTACGCTGGGCACATTTTCAATATTGTCTTCACACATCAGGAGCTGGCTACCCTCCTCCTCACCACACTCCAGTCATGCACCATTTCTAAACCTTTATGAGCAGATTCGTATTTGTAAGTAGGTTCCTTTTATTTTCACAGGTTTATTTTTTAGTGTACTTGATAATTTACTCTTTGTTTGGTGGGGGCAAGTTTCACAGGCCTCAAAGTCCCAGTACATCCTTCTTGGACTATTCAAAGAGAAGCAGATTTTCACTGCTTCTTTTGAAGGGCTCAAAGTGTTACACTGTAACCAGAGGCATTAAAGGGAAGTGCTGGGAGACTCCAGAGTAGTATGAGGAGTGCTGAGTTTGGAAGTATAAAGCAGACAAAAGGTTAATGGGAGACAAAAGAGAGAGAACCTGGAGAGGCTTTGGGTAAACATGAAAGTTTAAATGGCTTGTTCAACATAACGAGATATTCAGAGATCTGAATATATTCCCGCAATGAACTCCATTGCACTAGTGAAAGCACGAAATTGAGGAGTAACAGCACTGTTGCTGTGCTTTTTGCTTTCATAACTCAGAGGCGGTATTTTGATATGGTGTTAAAAAATTTACCATAAGCCGCTGGGTCAGCAACATGTTCCTGCATGAAACAGCCGAATCCAGAAAGGTTTGTGGTTACACTGGGAATGCCCATCACAGTACATTCAGCTGCCGAAAGAAACAGACAAGAAGCGTTTCAGGGCAATATGCTTTGAATGGTTTCACCTTGAGAGAAAAAAGAAAAAGAAACAGGCAGACAGAAGGTCCCATAACACTAGAGCTGCTCTGAAAATGTCAAGTGAAAACTATTATGCTTTGTTGTGGATTTGGAGAAAAAGAAAAAAGAAAGAAAGAAAAAGAAATTTTAAAGAGAAAATTTCGCACTGTTTTTGTGAACATATCTTTGTGTTTCCCAGCAGCTAAACTGAAAACTTTCTGGGAGTCCAGTGTTGAAACAGAGAACCCCGCTATACGGTCTGGACTGGTTGTTTTTAATTTTAAATTGAAGCCTGTTGTACACATATGTTCATTAGTTGTTCACAACTATTTACAAAACTGAATCTCTTAAGTGCCGGAGCATGTTAAACTTTGTATTTTGATATTAAGACAGCATGCAGATAAAGTAAATACTCTAGTCTTTGAAATGCTGAAAGCCATCTACATGGCCTTCATTCATATGACAATAAAACTGGTGTCTATAAAATAGAGCTATAAATCTACCTTAAAAAAAATCACTTTTTGTTTCTGGGAGAATTAAATGGGTATCAACAAAGAATCACTTTTGCATTAGTAAAGGAGAGAAACTACCCTTTTAACTAGTGTAAATCACAGCTTTCCTCAAAACTTCTAAGTACCAGTCCAACTTTTCTGACCAGGTTTACTTTAATGTGCACTTCAAAATCATCCCTGGCTGTCACACTTTATACCTTAGCTGAGATTAGAACAGGAAGAGAAATTGCTGGAATGCAAGACAGTTGTCTTACTTGGAACTGAATAGCTCTCTTACTTGGAGAGAAATAGCTCTGGAGAATGACTAAATTTGCAAAATTTCTGTTCTGATTCATTGTCTTACAACAAATGCTCTTCGGAGGGGCCCCCCAACTTTCAGATGTGTTTCAAGACTACAGAAGGTATTTTGGAGGACATAAAAACCCCAGGCACCTAGGCTTTGATCTTCATAGGTATTCAAATTCATAGTTTGCACTGATTTCATCAGGTGTTATGTGCCTTTTGTGAATCTGGTCCAATTTTTTTAAGTCAGAAAGTACATGTTCTCTGTATCCTTAGAAATTTCCATTTAATTCTGTGAGATTCTCTACCACTGCATGTATTTGTGGTAAATATCTTAGATATGGTGTTACATAATTCTATCAAACTTTATTGTTATCTTGAACTAAATCCACTGAAGTATGTCGGCTGGTAGCATCACATTTCTCGCCCTACTTTTTTCAATACGTATATTCCTTTAAATCTTCTTTTAAAATCCTTGAACCAACTTAAGAATTAAGCTTAAAAAATGATTTTTTGTTCTAAAGCCACAGAAAATCAAAAGATTACATGTTAGTATGGGAAAGGGTCCAGCGCAGGGACAAATGTGAGTAGTTGTCAGTCAGTAGATGCCATTTTATACCACCTGGCCCCCAAATTTTGCCAGCAGTAAGACCTTTGCACTGTAGAGGAAACAGAGCCAAAAGAGTTTTTTCAGCACTCCAGAAGAAATTGGCTGCAAAGCTATTCTGCATCAACAGAATGGGTATTCATCTTTCGATACTGGTTAAGCGTACAGATTGCCTACCTGGAGTGTAACCCCAGGGTTCATAGTATGATGGAAATACACCAAGGTGGCAGCCTCTAACAAACTCCTCATAGTCCAAGGGCAGCAATGGGCTTGTCGAAGAAAGAAACTCTGGATGTAGGATCACCTGGATATTCAAAACTTACATTAGAGGTGAAAGAAAACCATCATCAATACATTTTAATTATCAATCAGCTTAAACAATTTCTTCACTCTGGTCTTTTCCTAAGTATCTGGGTAACACCTCCTTTGCCCATCTGTTATCTAATTCACTTCCCACACTAAAACGTATCCTGCCTGTGTGCAGTCTTGTCCTGGAAATAGTACGATAATGAACCCTTTTTCTGGACAGGTCTTCAGCTTTATCCTTGTTGATCAAGGAAGACCATGTGCATTGAGAATTATGCCTGAGGCTGTGGCATTTAGCAACATTAAATTGGTTCTCTTGGTCTGTTGTACCAAGATACAGAGTATTGGGATGTCTCGTTCCAGAGGAGGCCTCAGGAGGATACAGCACTTCTGAGCTTCACAGCACCCAACTGAAAAATAGGAATGCTTATGGTACTCAATGGATCTCTCAAGAACTGAGAGAATTTTGAAACCAGACATATTACAGCCCCATCATCACAATCCTGTGCCTAAGCTAACTAATCTTGCTCAAAGACAAAGCTTATTAACTTAGGCTAATGTCCCACTTTCAGGACCCAAGCTAATTCATCTGCATGACCCTGCAGGGCTTGGGGTCGCTGCCCCATATTCCACTGCTAAGTAGAGAAGTGCCTTGTGTATGCTGTCCGGTCAGCTTTGGGAGGAAGAAGTGTGAGGGAAGGGTTTAACCTTCTCTGGGCGTTTTTCCCCCACATAAAAATACTGCAGCCATTATTCCCTGTCAAGGATATGCTTTTATCCTTTCTTAATAATATAGTCACGCTACTCACTTGAGTAAATCAACACATTAATATATTCAACCAGTAAATGGGCTGTAAACTCATTATGCAAGCTTATTTGATCCCGGTGAATTAAATAAGGTTTTCCATTGGCATTGCTGAGGCTATTTTTCACATGCCAACTCTGTCTGCATGGATGTGTCATACATCTCTCAAAATGACTTTCCATTTGAAGTTTACAGAATTTTTGTCCATGACATTCACCTTATTAAGTATTAAGCCTGTTCATGCAGCAGGTAATTTTCCAGTGGTAATGACAGTTTTGTACAAACTTGACAGATACCTAGCCAATCAAGTCTGCTGAGAAGCAGGAAGAGGTGTCTGCAGTGCTATATGCTATCTGCTTTCTAATGACTTCAAGCAGTTAATTCTGAGGAATTTTTTATTACATTTATATACAGTGCATCGTTCCACTCTACTTTTGTTACATCGACTATATTATTACCATATTATGCTCTCAGAGCTCACTGGAGACACACACTTAGCAGAGAGCATGTTAAGCCAGGGAGAAGCAACTAGGCAATTGAGGAAAAATGTTTACTCAGTTATCATCATGGGTTCAAAAGCCAAAACACTGAGAACAAGCAATATGTCATTGTCAGATATACTAGGGATCTGACTTTAAAGAAAATGTTTGGAAGAGGAAGAATTTGCAATTTTAGGTTCTACTTTGTATAGCTAGATGATGAGAGAGTCATAGTTAACAGAGAGAATGTCAGAGATTGCCAGACCAAAAAAAGCTTTGGCAGACTTGTGAAAGTGGGAGCTGATCATTTCTGTGGTCTGGCAAGATACACGTGGAAGTAAGGAAAGGCTTTATTTACATACATTTAGCTTCAACGATTGATGTAAACATAAGCACAGCATGAACAGGAAGTATTTCTGCTCAGGATCAAAGCCTTGGTTACCTTCTACAGCAAAAGCTGAGTGTCAGGGTGCTGTTCTTAAGCGATGAACTCCAGAAATGTCTGTGCTCTAACTCTGGACCTCCAGTTTTAAGCAAATGAATCTATTACAGAGTTTTACATCTGGGTGCAAATGACCTGTGGCACTTTCTGGATTTCAGGATTAGTAGCTCCTCATTCAGTACAGGAGGCAGCAATGAAAACAATTCCCTAACATCAGATTTCTAACTTGAAATTAACTTGGTTAAACAGCAACTGAGGGTATCTGTGAAGTGACTAGTTGTTATTCCTGGAAAGGGAGGAAGAATGAAGAAGTACTCTATTAGTACAATACTGCCTATCAAGAATTTGACTGCACGCCCCATGCTAATGATCCAGACTGTTTAAAGAAATTCCATTTTATATCTAAAATGAAAATGGCAGAATGTACCTTTACTCTGTCTGTCCGGTTATTGAAAAGGCCAATGCGTCGGATGGTATTGAGGATTGGATCATTGCCATCGTCAATCATGTTGTGAGTGGTCACTGGAGGCAGACAGTGTCGCTAAAGAGAGAAAAGGCAATGCATAAGCCAGACAAAACTGTCGGCAAAGAGTCCTGTTACCATTTTCTAAGGTTAGTGGAAGACAGTGGGAGATTTTGTCATTGACGTGGATAGGTTCTTACCCTTTCATTTCAAGGTAAGAAAGGAAAGTTATGGTCATATAATGTCTTCTATATAACTAAGGCCACAAATGAGACCATAAAATCTGTCACAGGACGTGTTTCATTTACCTCAAAATAAATGTATTTGTACCAACTTTTAGAAAGGCCTACCATTAAAGGTTCTTAGTCAATACGTTATGTCTCCTTCAGAGATTGATTTTACATATTTAATAAAAATGGAAGAATCCAGGCTTCAGGAACAATGCAAAGTTCACACTTAGTGCAGAAGAAAAGAATTAGGAATTTTGGTGTCCTGCATGTGACTGGGGGAATATCTATGGATTCCCCAGAAAAATTAGTTTGGGTCATACTCTCGTTAAAAACGCTCACAGCTGATCTTTAAATGTTACCGATGAGAAGTATATTTGCTTAAAATTTTTTTTATCAATGCATGCCTATCACTATATGTCATACACAATCCTTGTACGTAGTCATGTTTATCATTTATACTAGATGTTTGTGTAAATAATACATTTTCTGACCTGAGTTGAAAAGATGGCTCTTTTCATAATGGTTATATCATCTCGGTCAAGAATCTTGTTCAAGTCTGGAATTTCTCCTCTGCAGAGGCAATACAGAGCCTATTTTACCAAATGACTTATTATCAGTTGTATAAAGAAAATGAAGAAACAGCAAACAAGGTCTGATCTGAAGTCTGCTGATGTCAACATGAATCTTCCCTTTGTTTTCATGGCCCTTCTATATTTCCTACATTTTGTTCTCCCATATGCTTGCTGACCTTCCAGTTAGCTTCCAAAAATGCTAAAGAACTCTTTTTTTCTGTTTTTCAGACACACCTTGTTTTTGCTGAAGTTCCAGTCATCTCATCTGTGCTTTGGGTCATTCACTTCCAACTGTCTTTTGAAAGGATATGACTAAGCCACTAATACATACTACTTTGTCTCTGGTGCTTTTTTAAGCTGAGGTAGCTCATTTTTGACAGTGAGTAAGCCTTTGTGTTACTTAGACATCCCCCATGTCTCTTAAGATTCTTTCCACAATGGGGTGCTAGTACCTTTAAGTTTTTTCTCTGTGATTTGCCCATTGAACAAGTAACCCGTATATGGAACAGAGGGCCCCATATCCTTCTCCTATGTCCCTCCTATGGATGTCAAAATTTCTAACATGAAGAGTAGAAGCACAGAAACACCACAGGTAAGCCAGCTGAGTATGTGGCTCTGCGAGGCAGAGCAAAGTAACTTATACACTCACTTTAACAGGGCATTGTAGAGTTTCTTTCCAAACTTTTCTTTCACAGATTGTGCAGTGTCCCTAGGAAAATAAATAAATATATGTATAAAACGGGAGAATCTAGGACAAAGACAGAATAAAAGACATTTCTGCTTGTTGTGGTTTAACCTCAGCCGGCAACTGAGCACCACACAGCCGGCG